GAGTTAAAAAGTCAAGAATAAACAGAAATCAGGAGTTTGGGTATGAAGGTGGGAATAATAAAAATAACCACTGTAATAATAATAATATTGATATGTGCAGGGTACTATGCTAACCGGTTTATGTATATTATCTTACTAATTTCCATATGTCTCATCATCCCCATTTTGTCCTCATTTTACAGAGGACAAAACTGAGGCCCAGGGTTATAGGTGATGTACCCTAAATCACTTGGCTGAAAGTAACTGAGCTGGGACTCAAACCCATGCTCTTAAGCTCTGCAGTATAGGGTATGGCAGCCTGCAGGTTCAAGTCCCACCAGGTCGTAAAGGAGCAGGCGCCTGGGCGAGCCCTGCTGAGCTTCACTGAGCCACTCAGTGGGGCTGATGGGGGCAAGGAAACCAGCAGTCAATGGGCTGGGAGACAGAGGAAAGCGGAATCTGACATGTGGCGGTTGGGCTAAGGGTAGAAGGTGGCTTAGGGGGAGGGCACTAGTAGGCGAGATGGACATACAGGAGACTGTGGGCAGGGAGAAGAAGTACAGAGTTTTCAAACCTATTTGGCCATAAACCTTTAAACACACCAAACTTGTAGCGATTTCAAGGAATTGGTGTGCTATAGAAATATACACTGGAGACTGCTACTCTCAAAACATGAGCTCCTGGGGGACAGTTTGTGTTTTAACTACATTTGCAGTCCACACAAATTCTACACAGAGTAATGACAGACAGGATGGTGGCAAGGACAGAAGTTGGATGAGTAGATGGATACTGAATGGATGGGTGGCTGATGGATGGGTGGCTGAGGGATGGGTGGATGTTGAATGGTTGGATAGATGACTGCAAAGATGAATGGACAGATGGACAAAACACATGGATGAACAAACAAAGACCAACACAACTGAAAAAGATAATTAGATGGATGGCAGGATGGGAATCAGGAGACTCTCTGGAGCCTACTATTGTAGAATCTTGACACTCATGAGTGCTTTACTTGGAAGATTGGCAAACTTTTTCTGTAACAGGCTAGATAGTAAATATTTTCGGCTTTGTCAGCCACAAACCAAGTCTCTGTCACATAGTCTTCTTTGTTTTTAAGTTCTTATTATTCAATCTTTTATAAATGTAAAAACTATTCTTAGTTCTAGCCATGGGCCAGTTTTGGTCTGTGGGCCACAGTTCGCCAACCCTTACTGTACTTTGATGGAGCATATCTATGAGCTTCTCTTATAACTTGTGCTTACAAAGGAACCATGGGAAGAACAAATGAGTGCAGGCCCAAGTCTAAGCAGAGAAAGAAGGTCTTACTATTCCACAGCTGAAGATGTCCACTCGCTTTGTCAGCTGTCCCACCCTGATGAAATCTTCTGGCAGATATGCAGCTGAGGCTTGGAAAAGGTGGGTCTTCATCATGGTGTATTTTGACCTTTTGTTGACAGGACACAGGTGAGCCACTGGATGGGCCAGCATGGGGGTAAAGTTTTGATCTAGCAAAACATTGGAGCTGTGGAAAAAAAGAAAGCAGAAAGAACCTTCTCATTTTGGGCTGGACAAGAAGAGACTTGCCAGTGACGTTTTTGGAAAATAACTTGGCAGTGAGCAGTGTCAGCCTTAGCAAGTTAGGGTCACTGAAGACCCTCAACATGGAGTTTCTGAGCCACTCCTGAGAAGGGAGCCCACTCCCACCAGCAAATGGGGATGGAGCTAAGATTAATCCTGCTGCCTCAGGAACGGCACCTGATATGACCAAAGAGGGGCAGCTATCCTGATCCCCACAGATGTCCACCCTGATCAACCTCAGCTGGCCAAGCCATAAGTTTTGTCAGCTCAGTCCCTTCCAAAGCTGTCCTGACCCCCAGCTCTGGCCCAGCTGACTCAAGTCTAAATGCCAGCATCCTCTGTGATGGAACCTGCCCAGATGGTGGAGAATAAGAGCAATAAAAATGTTCTTGGACCTAGTCATCTAAACCATGGGAGAGAACTCTCAAAAAGTACTCCAAAGTGGTGGTGGGCGGGGGCAAAAAAAAAAAAACTAAGCTACATGTGTAAAAATATTCAATGTAGAACTAATACCTGATAGCTTTTTTTTTTTTTTAGTATATACCAATTCTAATGTCCACTGTTAGGAGTGGGTAAGTAAATTATAAGCAACCCCTGCAATGGAAGACTAAGAAGTCACCAAAAAAATTATGACATGCAATGTGGGGAAATGTTTACCATGTTTAAATGAAGGGGGGGAGGGGGTAGAAGATGAATTGGTAACCAGGTGACCATGTTACCTTAGAGCTAAGACTTATGTGTGGGCAGGGGCGAAAAACAAAAGAGAAAAATGGAGGCCAGCTGATGAGTCAGGGCAGTGAGCAAGACCGACCTCTCGTCCTTGCGTTTCCTTTCTTGCTATTATAGTTGTTTACGCAGCCAAATAAGAATCAGCGAGGAGGAAAGAGGAAAGGGCTTTTCCTCGCCAGATGGAGGGAGGATTTTGGGGAAGTGTGGGCTCTAAGGTTTCAAGCTCCATTTTGCCAAATTCTCTCGTATCTTCTGGAATCTCTCCCTATGCTGCCAGTCCCCAGACGAAGATCTCTTGCTGTTGAATGTTTGGGAGCATGATACTGAGATGATGGGGTGCATGTTAACCTGCAGGAAGCCTCTCTGACTCAAGTTGTTTTCACTAACAGGTACACAAGTGTGTGTGTGGGGGGGAGGAGACAGGTCTCTGAGAAGAGTCTGAGCACAGAGTTAAAAATCCCAGGGGGCTTGGCAGACGTGACCCAAGCTCCAAGGACCAGGTGCAGACCAGCCGGGTGGGAAGCAAATACATCAGGGGTGTAGCGTGGTTGCTGGTATAAAACCAGCTAAGAAAGACAAATGTGATGACAGGTAGACAGTTCATGCTGACAGAAATCAGAGACACAACCCAAAAATACTTATTTTTGAGAGTATAACAAAGAAAGAGAGACTCAAAGGAGGTGAGCTGGGGAGAGAAAGGCAAAAAGAGAGACAGAGGAAGAGGAAAGGGATCCAGGAATGTGTGCTGCTTCATCCCTGCAGCCTGAGCCCTTGGGGGGTCCAGCCCACCTCTCTCACCTCTTGATGTTGCTGTGGATGATATCCAGGCTGTGAAGGTGCTCCACGGCACGAAGCAGCCCCAAGAAGATGCTGATGCGCTGGGGCCAGAGGAGGGGGTCCAAGCCACCCTAAGAGAAAGAAAAGACTTCTTAAGCCCAATGGCAAGGTCCTGGGCTCCTGTCTGTCCAGCTCATCATGTCCTCTGCAACAGGGCTCAGTCAGGATGGTTTACTGGCAGGGTGTCAGTTTTGACATCAGACAGATCTAGGTGTAAATCCTAGCTCAGACATGTACTAGCTGTGTGACTTTGGAAAAGACACTCAACATCTCTGAGCCTTGGTTTCTTCAGAAATAAAATGGAAATGTTAATCCCTACGCTTTAGGGTCGTAAGGATTCAAAGGAGTGTATGGTATGCTCCTAGCACAGTGCCTGCCACACAGTGGGTGCTCAATAAACAGCAGCTATTTTTATTATGACTATTATAGTGGCAGCTCTAAAATTTTTCTCTAGGAGAGGCTGGTTGGGAGAGGAGCTAGGGACCTTGTGTTGGCACACCAGGGACATGGGCCTTATACCCATTTTATGTGTATTTGGAGAGACTTCACAGGGGCTGATGGGGATTGTGGTGGGGCGGGGCTAAAGTCCCCTCATTTCTCCAGGTGCTGCCACTATTTTCTAAGACTGAATTTCCAGACTAAATCACCACTTATTTTTCAAGTAATGTCTTAGGTCCCACACCCTCTAAGAACTGGCCTTGCTAATAGATTTCTCCTCAAAAACTCTGAAATCTGAAGCCACATGAATGCAATTTAAACCACTGCCCTGACACCTTTCATCTGTGTTTCTCTGAGCAAACCACTTTGCCTCTCTGTGCCAAAGACTACTCTTTTGGAAAATGGAGTCAACTTCTTGGGTTGTGGCAAGGCCTGGAGGAGACATGTGTAAAGCCCTTGCACACAGCAAGAGCTCAGCAAAGCAAACATAAATAACTGCTTTGTCTGGTTCCAGCCAAAAGAAGCTATAATTCTGTTGCAGAATAACTTTTTTTCCCCCTCTGAGGATTTTATGGGAAGGATGTTTCTTTTAAAAATTATAATTTTAATAGTTAATTATATTCACATGGTATAATATGTAAAAGGTACAAAAGGATGTATATTAAAAGTTTCCCTCCCGTCCTGTGCCACAGCTATCTATATAGTTCTCCTCCCCAAAGGCAGCCAAGGCACCGGTTTCTTGTATCTTTCCAGAGATATATTCCATAAATACACAAGCAAATATACATATATTAGAATAGCATTTTAAAATAAAATTTTGCCTCCACTTTTTTATACTCTGTATCTCTTAATTCTTTTTCTTGTCCTATTGCACTGGCTAGCACCCCTAGAACAATGTTGAATAAAATTAATGCTATGGGAACCTTTGTCTTGCTCTTGACTTAAATGAAATGCCTCTTGTCAAATAAATTTGTTATAGGCTTTTACCTGAAGCTATTTAGCCAGATCTGGCCCAACTTTTCTTCTTGAAGAGCCTCTCTAGATAGCCCCTCTCCCCTCTGTAAGTCCTTAACCCTTGATTCTCTAACTAGGTGCTGCCTGGTCCTGTTCTCTGACCGTGACGCAGCCTCTTACCTGACCCTGAAGTCTGTCCTGTAAAGAACCATTAGCCATGTAGGGGTAGATCAAGCTATAAAACTGTTTTCCGGTACAGAAGCCCAGCAGAGGTAAGACGTTGGGGTGGCAGCATCTGAAATCAGGCATTAGCGCAGGTGTGAGGAATCAGACAGAAACAGTAATCAAAGGCTGCTCTACTTCCTTACCTCCCACCCCTCTTCGGCCCTCTCCACCACCCTGAGGGCCCAGCACCAGCACAGAAAGATGAAAACTGCCTGCCTTCAAGGAGCTGGAAGTTAAGTTGCTTGAACTTATCCTGCCTCATTCCTCTGCAACATGACACCTTAACCACCCCATCTTCCAGAAGCAGACAGAGATTAAGGAACTTGCCCAAGGTTACAACTAGCAAGCAGTGAAGGCAGGATCAGTAGGTCTTTTTGACTCCCAGGACTGGAGTTCTTCCCCAAAATCCTCTTCCACTGGGTTCTAAGTCACCAGTCCCTCCTGACTCTCCTCCTACCTCTCTGACCACTCTTGGCCTTTTTCACCAAGACCCTCCTCCTTTGCCTCCCTCTGAAACCCAAGTCTCCCCAACTAGGCTCATCATCTTGTTTTATAAGCTGCCCCATCAGGTATCTCCCACCTCTATGAGGGATGCTCTCAAATCTCTCATCTCCAGCCCCAGTGGTCTAGATGAACAGACTGGACTCAACAAGTCCCAAACCTGCTTCTCCACCCATAGTTACTATCTCAGTGAAGGGTACCACCATCCATCCAGTTTCCTAGAAACCTCCTTACCTCCCCAATCTAATTAGTCACATTCATTGCTATAAATAGCTTGTAAATTGTCCCTTTCATCCCCTCCTCCTCTGCCTTGGGTCAGACCCTGATGGACTCTCCCCAGGACTATTAGTCCCCAGGACTATTATACCAGCCTCCTGCCTGACCCCTCTGCTCTCCTCCACTCCCCCCAGGCCATCCTACTTCACACTTTTCATATCATTAGAGTTATTTACACTTTACTTTCCCACTAGACTTTTGAAGGCAGGGGCTGTGTATTCTTCACAGTCTGCACTCCCTCGAGCCACATAAGGCCTTGACAACTCACATTTGCCAAATCACTGAATGAAGGAATGACTGCCAACTCCAGGAAGGCACTATGCCAAGGTGCAAAGGGTATTAGACTTCCAGTTTCCATTAAATGTGTGTGTGTATATAAGTATGTGTATGTGAGTTTGTGTGTATTCATACATATGTATGAACAGAGTAAGGATTAAAGAATATATGGCAAAATATTAATACAGTAGTAGTTATTTGTAGATATTATGAAAAATAGATTTCTATTTTCTTATTTATAATTTTCTTTATTTCTTAAAATACTCTACAACTATTATGCATTATGTGCCCAAGGCTGCACATTGGCAGAGTTTCTCAGACAGTGACTTGCAAAGGTTGAATGACAGCTGGTGTCAAGCATACGACAGGTGCCCAATATGCATTTGTTAATCAGTCAGTGATGGTAGAACCAGGACAAGTCCCCAGGTCTCCAAACAGTCCTTCCCTTTTTCTCTCCCAGTCACCACCCAGCTTTGTGACAGGGAGGCTCACTTCACTTTTCCAGCCTCAGTTTCCCCATCTGTAAAATGAGCAGATTTGAGGATGGCTTTTGAAGTTCCTTATTGCTCAAGATCAGAGGTCAGCAAAATTTCTCTGTAAAAGCTAGACAGTAAATATTTTAGACTTTGCAGGCCACATGGTCTCTGTTGCAATTACTCAACTGTGCAGTATTATGCAAAAGCAGGCACAGGCAATACAGAAATAAATAAGCATGGTTGTATTCCAGTAAAACTTTATTATGGACACTGAAATTTGAATTTCTTTTTTTTTATGCACAAAAAAAGGGATTTATTCAGAGGAAGGAAAAACAAAGAAACAAACTACCACTGCAGTAAGAGAAACGCACTGCTCTGACACAGGGCTCCTACCAGCCACCCACCAGCCGCCCACAAACACCTCAGACACACACTCCAACCGGCCGCCCACGTGGAAAACAGAGAACTGAAATTTGAATTTCTTATACTTTTCATGTATCATGAAATATTCTTTTTCTCTTTATTTTTTTCAAACCATTCTTAGCTGTCAGGTCATACCAACACAGGCGGAGCCAGATTCAGCCTGTAGGCCATTTGTCAGATTCTAGAGCACTAGGATTTTAAAATGGATTCACCCTTAGAGCTGGAATCAGGAAGTGTTTGCCCATCTTAAAAAATGGGACAGAAAAAAAATGGGATAGAAACAGATTTCTTTCCCCCAGGATGAAAGGAGTTGAGCCAACTGAACCAAGGGTCTTTTTTAATTCTAATCTATGCATATATTAATAGTTGCTACATAGAAAAAGCGTGAACTGTGCAGCCAGACCAATCAAGGTTTAAATTCCAGCTCTGTCACTTACTAGCTGTGTGATCTTGGACAAGACACTTAACCTCTCTGTGCCTCAATTTGACCATATGTAAAATAATGTGATAATAGTAGCTACATTACAGGGTTCTTGTGAGGATTAAATGGGTCTATACATACAGAGTGCTTAAAACATGCTTGCCACATAGGAAGCTCTAAATAAGGGTTAGCTATCATCATTATTAAACAAAGTATTTTCCTAAGGGGAGGCTTACCTGTGATAAATTTGCATCTCTGCCTGGAAGAATTTTTCAATTGATCCTGGACCTGGACAGGGCATCTGTGGGAAAAGACACTGAAACATGAAAATCCAGCCTCACACGTGCAGCCTCCACCCATTACTAGAAACCAAGAAATGCTCACTTCTCTGAGCTTCTTGATGACAAATGGTGTGCCCTGCCTTTGCCCTCTGTAGATGTCAGCAAAGGTCCCCTCGCTGATTTTGTGGGTTTGGTTGAAGTTATCGGTTGCCTGAACCACGTCCACCTCACTCCAGAAAAGGCTTTCTCCGGCCAGGCTCAGAAGTGTTTCCTGCTTAGGAACAGAGGTGCTGAAATCCTGGGGATTCAGAGAGAAGAGACAAAGGTTAGTACTGAATTAATATGTAAAATACTATTTTCCCTACTGCCTCAGGGAATCTTAGAACACCAGAGCTGAAGGGGTGGCGGGGATCATCTCAACTAGTGAGGAGGAATGATAAAAAGAGCAGGAATAGGGCCAGCTCAAATCCCAGCTCCTCCCCTAACTTGCTCTGTGACCTTGGATAAGTTACTGAACCTTAATTTCCTCATCAGCAAAAATGGAGATAACAGCGGTACCCTGGAGGGTAATTTTGAAGATTAACTAAAATGTGAGTATTCCTGGCAAATGGTTGATATTTGCTTATATTTGCTTTTCTTCAGTTTGTAAAGGTGAACACCAAGGGAGTGAAAGAGCTGAGGTCAGATCACACAGCTGGTCAATGTCCAGGCTGGTACCCCAGGTCCTATACGTGGCACACACGCTGGGAAGCAGGACATAGGGTAACATAACCCAACATGATTCTGTAATCAGAGCTCCGGTGACAGCTTGCGTGTGTAAGCCTATGCAAAGCAGCTCTGTTTCAATAACTTCTCTTCTTAAAAATAGGTGTCCATAAACTTAAATTTTTTAAAGTTACATATGCTCTAATGAACAGTTTTAGAAAATTGGGGGTTTGGGGAGGGAATCCCCTTAATCCCTTTATCCACTTAACTGCTATTAAAGTTTAGTGTGTTTCTTGCCAACTAGATACTATGTAAGGATTTATTTAACAAATTGAGATCATGACACACACATAGTTTTGATATGTGGTATTTTCACTTAACATTATACCATGTTCATTCTCCCAAGCTATTAAGTCATCTTTGAGAATGATAAATTTTCAAAGGAAACTAAAACCCTGTTTAAGCGATAGTCTCCTTTATGGGAGCACTTCATGAACCAGACCCACACAGAGCTGGCTTCTTCACCAGGCACCCTGCCCGCAACACTTTTAGGGGTCCACGAAACTGTTTTCTTTTAAAATCAGAGGAACGAAAATGAACTTTTAAAATGGAAGAAAATGTTTTAATTTTTAATCTAGCTTAAATTACATTCATCTTTATGTCAATGCAATCGTAAACTATAATTTTTTTTTTTTTGTAATGAAGGAAAGAGCCCATGAAGGCACAAATGCCTAATACCCACAAAAGTCATATGTGGCCCTGGACCCAAGTCACTGAAAATTCAGGATAACTCAGACATTGTTTTCAGTTGAAAAAGGTTGGAGGGGAGGCAGTTAGTAAGCCAATGACAGCCACAACCAATTTATTTTGAGGGGAAGGAAGATGCCAATTATCATCTATCATTTAAACACAAATAATGGAAAAGCTCATCAAAAAAGAGTATTCACTGAAGTGAACCAACTCCCCACCCCCTTTACCCCACCGCCACCCAGCCACAGCTGTATCGATGACCAATACTTACAGTTTTAGAAGCTCAGAGTAATTCGATGGGTCTCCCTTCTCCCCGTCACCCCACCCTTAACCCCAAACTGGTCTCAGGGAATAAGTGTGTTGCAGTCTGAGAGAGAGCGCCACAAGCTGGGGATATCACTAGCTGGTGCGGGATTTACCTTTGATTCAGATGAAGCAGGAAGGCTGGTTTTCAAGGAAGGAGGGTCATCTTCAGGAGGCAGGGGGTTGGTTCTGGCTGGAACGGGCTCTGCAAAGAAGAGACTGTGGGTCAGGAAGTGGCTGGCTGGAAGAAGGCAGGAGGGGTCCCCGTCAGTCCCCAAACCAAGCCAGTCTCCAATTCACTCCACAAACACTTACTGTCAATAATGACAGTTGCCATATCCTGATACCCCCAGGCACCACCCAACATACTTTTCATGCCATTACCTAAATGAATCCTTATGATAACCCAATGGGTTGGTCCTATAAATGATCCCCATTTGGCCAGTGGAGAAACAGAGGTACTAGAGGTGGCCACCTGCCCAGGGCCACACAGTAAGTGGCAGCACCAGCCTTCAAATGGGATGTCATCTGTGTGACATCTAACCCCTACACTGTCCTACCTCCCTTACTAGGAGCAGAAAAGAGAACTCAGAGGAAAATTAGCTATAGGGCCTGCCTTCCAGAAACCTCCACCATGGTACGAATGGCAATAACCAGCCTCTCAGGTCAGAGGCAGGAGAGGCCAGCCATAGGGGTTGAGAGATCAAGGAGGGTTTCACAGAGGAAAGAGCATTTGACCTGGGCTTGAAAGATGGTGAAACGTTTCCAACAAGTGGATACGAGGGAGGGGGCACCAGCCCATAAAGAGGTGTGGCAGTGGGAGAGCATCATGCCGGGGACTGTTCTAAATGCCTCACTTAACCCTCATTTAACCCCCACAACAATCCTAGGAGATAGGCACCACTATCATCTACTTGTTACAGATGGTGAAATAGGCCTCTGAGAACCTGGGGGCTGGCCCTTCCAAGAGAACCTGACCTCAGGGTTGCTGGCCACATTCACCTGCTTCCCGCATTTCTGGTTTCTGACATCATGAAGAAAGGGATTAGTCTGAAACTTTGGCAGTTAAAAAAAAATTTTTTTTCAGAAGACTAAGAATAGTACCGGGGTGAATCAGCCTTGCTAAACTATTAACCCAGGCAGCTGATAAAACAAAACTCACCTGATACAAAACCTGAGGCTCTTTCATTCCCCATGGAGCCCAACAGAAGGGGCATCCTAAGCCTATCTCCCTGGGTCTGCTCCTGCTTCTAGGGCTGTTAGGAGTGTTTTGTTTTTGTTTTTCACATTTTTCAGCATTAGGTATATTTGAAAGAACTAAATTTGAAAAGGTACCATGTTTGCACACCCACAGTGTATCAGAGAACCCCAGAATGGGGCACTAAAAAAGCACACACACAGGTGCACAACACATGCTCTCAGTGCATCAATGCACTCAAACTGTAAACTGAGCTTTGGTATAAGAGCTATAGCTCAGACACTGGAAGTAAACTTTTGGCAAACAAACAAATTCTTTAATAAATCCAGAATGAAAAATAGAATAAATGAAACCAGCAATGCGCTGCAGACCAGCTGCTGGCAGCACAACTGACCTAAAGCCCTGCTGCTTACTCAAATCCATCCCCCCATCTGCACCCAGGCCATGCTTCCCACAGGCTGCTCCCAACCCCCACCCCCATCCCACCCCACCCTCACACACACACACAGGGACTGGGTGCAGAGGGGAGACTAAGAGGAGAGCCAGGACTCTGATGGGGACTCTGGTCTTTCCAAGGACACCCACTGAGCCTGCCTTTGACTGTAGGCAGGCAGTACAATCCCACTCAACCTTCTCACCCTCTTTCCTTCCCTGGGGTCCAAAGCTCTCTCCCCGCGTTCTCTCAGGCACTTGTCCTGTGAAAATCGTTGCATGTTCATCTTGGCTTCTGGAGTACAGGCCTCCACTGGCCAGCGGGTGCAGGGACCCTGCCATACAGAAGGGCTCCCTGTTACTGCTGCTCCTGTGATGGAGGCTCTGACCTTGCCCTGCCTTCGCTTGGCCTTGGCCCAGTACCCCTGGCCTGTGTTCCCCAAACTGCGGTCACATTCATCCACCTAGATGTTGGCCATGTCTTTGTGTTGCCTCACTATGAGTTACTTGATATTTTTCTTTCAATCCACTTTAATTCACATAGTATGCATTTAGCCTTGAAATCCCTAGGTTTTTGTACATGTGATATGTATTTTTTCTAACATTCATGTTCTCATGTACTACTGGGGATACACTCTGAGAACACTGCTCCAGGCCACCTCGATCTCCCTCCGGCTTCTTTCCTCAAGTGTTGCCCCATCCCCTCTCCCTGGCCCAGTGCTGGCTTCAAAGCAGGGCTGCACACATGGTCCCCATCCTCTCCACTTGCCTACTGACTCCAAGGTCACCACTGGCCTCACACAGCCAGGATTTTCTGATCTGACTTGATGCCTGGGGTTCACTCTGGGGGCTGTACCATGTCCCTTGGGTTGGGGGGATCACTGAGGTCTACTCTTCTGACAAATGAGAGCTACGAATTGGAGGAGTGGCTGAGTCTATTTATCCCTGTGGTTTTGAAAAAAAATAAAAAGAAATGGGGTTTGGGCCACTACTGCCAAGGCTGACATTACCAGATACACTTAGCCCTTGCTTTGCCAATGCTCATGGAAGAGATGGGTCAGGGAAGACGCTGGGCTGCATAAAGGTCATTTCCAAAACACCAAGAAGTTTCGTGTGCCGAAACTTCTACTAAAAAAAAAAAATTAGATCCTTTTGGAGTTCATAAGTGTGATGATTGGGTGTTCACACTTGTGTGTGAGATGTGCCTCCCACAAACCTTGTTACGACATCGGCACATTACCCATCTGATGTGAAAAAAATAGTGATAAAATTTCCCATGGAAATCTTTCTAGAATGTGTGCTTTCCCAAGCAGACTACATCACATCTCGCTGTGTTGAATCACTGTGAGCCTGAGCACACACGCAGTGGTGCTGTATCTCACTTGGGGTTTTCTGTCCCCTGCCTAGTGGCTGGCAGTGGACCTGCCTATGCAGCCTCCCAGTCTCCTTTCCGTTCACCAGACACCACTGGGCTCAAGTCCTGGCTCCTCATTAGTAGAGATTTAACCTTGGCTGAGTTGTGCTTCATCTCTTTAGCTTTCTCAAATATAAAAAGAGCAATAATAGTCTGTTCCTTGTAGAGCTCTTGTCCAGATTAAAAGAGATGACAGTTATAAAGCACAAAGATCAGTCTCTGGTACATATGGAGTACCAAGGCTGGTAAAACTATGTGTAGAATAAGATTAAACAGATCCTAACTGACAGTCCAAGGGCCTCTCCCATAGCAAAGGCTCTGTTCAGTTATTTCAGCTACTCAGAGGCCTTCTATCTGAATTCTAGCTTTGAGAATCTGTTTTAATGAGGTGCTCAGAGCCTGTCCGTGGCTCACCTGCTCACGTATTTTCCCCCTCCATGTCTTTCCCCATCTTCCTCCCCACCTACTGCAAGGGGGTCAGTATGTACATACAGGGGTTACGATGTGAGCTCTGGGCAGCCCACCTGAGCTGAATCCTGGCCCCACCACTCATTCAGCCAGGAAGCTCTGGCAGGTCGTGCATCCTTCCCCAGCTATCAAAGTGGGTAACATTAGCCCCCGCCTCTCTGGTCATCAGGGTGATTCGTGAGGCCCTGACTAGGAGCTCCTGGCCCAGTGTCTCCTGCACCAGGCGGTCATTGTCCCCACCTGCCTGTGCCCTCCTCAGCCCCCACAGCCTCCACATTCTCCACTCCTACAAGATAATCAATCAGCTTGAATTTTGGGTCACAATGGAAGCTTGGGGTTTTCCCAAGAGAAGGCAGGCTTTGGGTTATTTGATGAAATGAATGATTACTCGCTTGTGTTCAGTGTGGAGAAAGATAGACAACCAACTTCCTGCTTCTGTCTACAGATCATATTTATTATCTCGACCTGCCAAGGCACATGAGCATCTAAGTGCCATTCAAGAAAGTGAACGGTACAATCACTTTATGAGGGGTGTAAATGTCTATTACATTGTTTTGTACACCTGAAACTAATTAAAAAAGAAAATGTATCCTAAAAATCTACAAAAGAAAAAAGAAGAGAAGACTAATTTCCCTTCCCTTGAGTGTGGGCTGGACTTAGTGACATCCTTCTAATGATTAGAATGAGGCAGAAGAGTTGTCCGGCTACAGGGACTGGGTCATAAAAGACAGGGCAATTTATTATGTAGCAATAGACAACTAATACACTGGTATAAATTTATTTCCAACTTAAGCCTTTGTATAAACTTTCTCTTTTTTATTGGTTTTTAGCTGCTTCTATTTCTTTCTTCATAGAGCAAATTATATTATCAGAACATCAATGTAATTCTGCCCTTATGTTTTTTCAATATCGATGCCATTTTTTTCTTATGTCATTACTATTGCTCCGGAATTTATCGAGACAAATTATTCTTTTAAGTAAGATAATGACTATGGTTTTAAATGTGTATAATTTATCATGCTAAAATATTTTCTTCCCTATCTTTCTAATATGGCATGTGTAAAAAATTGAATACATATTAATTATGAAAAGTGACTTTTAGCATCTACAATGATATAAAGTATATATTAGACAACAGACTCTCTAAAGTAAGACAAAATCTTATTTCAGTCTTGAGTTTCATATTTAACCTTTGCTTCTATTTTAAATTATACACACCATAAAAAAAAAAGTGAACGGGGGCTGGCCGAGTGGTGTGTTGGTTAAGAGCTGGAATGGGATGCCAGAGGGTCCTGGTTCGGATCCCACATATGAGGGCCAGTGACGCTGCCCTCTACAGCTAAGATGCTGAACAACAGCTCAACCTGGAGCTGGGCTGCCGCCCCTGTGGCAGTGGGTTGCCATGGGCTACCGTGTGTAGCCAGCAGCCAGCGTGAGCGGCCAGCAGCCGCAGTGAGCGGCCGTCCAGAAGCCGGCGACTGATCTGCCTCGCCCAGGAAGAGCGCAATGATGGTGCCAACTTGGGCCAGTGAAGCAACGTCCTCCACAACTAGACTGAAGAACAAAAGAACAGCAACTTGTCTGTTCCTCTTCCCCCAATTCTCCAGCGCTGTTCCCTTCCCCCAATTCTCCAATAAAAATCTTTAAAAAAAAAAAAGTGAACTGGTACAAAGGCTGGCTTGTTTTTGCAGTCATCTAGATAAGGAACATCAGAAGTTGCTACACTGTAACAACTTCCATCCTGACCAGCACTCCCCTACAATTTCCCTATTTTATTATTGTTCCCATTGGCCATCAACCAGTATCACGTTTGTTTAGGACTATTTCCCCTTATCTTTAATTGCTGATCAAAGTTTTACACTTTTTTTTCTTTATCTACAGGAAATAATTCAGATTTTTTGACATAGAATTAATTTTCCAGACTCAACCTATCCGGGGTGTCTGGAATGTTCCTAACATCAGCTAACATTCAATAAGCATATATACATCGTGGCAACCCTGAGGTGCATGGTTCCTTACCACAACATGATGGCATATGTTTTATTATGATGCCCATGTTATAGATGAAGAAACTAAGGCACAGAAAGGCTAAGGAATTCTGCTAGGAAGTGGCAGAGTTGGGATTCCAGTGCAGGTCTGTCTAATGTACAAGCCTGTGCATGCTATCCTCAGCCCACACTGACCTTGGCTCTACATTGATGAACTGAGGGTTCATGGATTTGGGATCTTGGACACACCAAAGCGGAAGGGAGGCTCCAGGGGAGAGGTGGTGAGAATGGAGATGTGGGCATGAGTAGCCCCTTGGAGAAGTGATCTACTGGCTGAGTCCTTCCATCATCTGGCAAACTGTCTCTGAGCCCTTTCCTAGGCACGAGGGGATGGAGACAAATCTGAAGTGGTCTGAAAGGCTTTGGAATAGTAGCGTGTGCAGGAGTTAGGGACACAGCATTCAAATCACACTGTTCAGATGACACTTCCTACTCATGTGACCTTGAGCAAATCATTTCTCCTCTTGGTGCTTCAGGTGCCACAGAACAAAGCAGCATATCTGTGACTGGCAAAGAGAAGGAAGATGGGAGGCAGGGAGCACCCCTCAGCACCCTACTAAATGGTTATGAGGACCAGGCCCTAAACAAACCACAGGCCTGTGGAGAGCAGACAGAAAGGCCATCAGACTCCCAGCCCAGGGCCTGCAATGGGGGCTTGGGAAACCACAGGTGAAATACCTGGGCCCCGTGCATATGACCTTGGCAGGCTATTTAGCCTCTCTGTTCTTCAGTTTTCTCATCTGTGGAAGGGGGATAATCGTAATACCTAACTCATACAGCTAACTGAGGATTAAATAAGTCAACATCTCTGAAGTGCTTAGAACAGTGGCACATAGAAAGCCCTCATTCACTGAGTTATTTCTTCTATAAAAACGGTAACAAATGATACATATTATTTTATCAGAGTTTTCTAACTTTTTAACTCAGTACATTGTAAGCATGTTTCCATGTATGTATATACATCCAAATAATTGTTAACAGTACTGTTATGTTAATAATATGTTAACAGTATTATTATTATGTTAACAGTATTATTATGTTAACAGTATTATGACCTTCTGTCATTAATTTTACCATCCCCACTGTTGTTTCTAACTTTTTGCTATTATATGCTGAGCTGAATATCCTTCTAGATACATCATTGCCTTAAATAAATTTCCTTTAAATAAAAAATTGAAATTTAGTTTAAAATACCTGGGCCAAGAATGCTAGCTGGCCTCACAAGCTGCCCCTTTTCTTGTTCGTCCTTGGTGTTTCTTACAGAAGCTGCCAAGGGCCTTCCTGGCTTCACAGCATCCGGGAAGTCCGGGATGGAAGACTTGATTTCAGGAACTGGTTTCCCTGAAACAAGGTGGAAAAAAAGAAAGTTATGATTCAGTGAAATGGGGTAGCCATCCAGAGGCTGGGTCTAGAAGCCAGCCTCTGGGTTCTAGTCTGGGCTGTGCTTTGAATTCACAGTGTGCCCAGTGAGTTCTTTCCCTCTTTGGGCCATGGTCTCCCCGTCTGTAAAATGTAGTGGTTGGGCCTGACAATCTCCTGTGATCAGTCCAGCTCTGACATTCTGAGTCAGACACACACGGCTTCTTATCCTACTAGCTGTGTGACCTTACGCAAGTCACTTTCCTTCTAGGAGCCTGTTCCTTCACGTCTAAAATGGAGATGATGATAATGATAGTATCTGCTTGCCTGTTTTTAGGCTATTGGGAAGGGGGATATGAGAGCACAGGCATGAAAAAGCCCCATGAACTATACATTTCCCCGAACACGTGGGGAAATTAAAGATATCCATCCTGCTAAGTCCCTAGTTGAGCCCCTAAATTTAGAAGCTCTGGCGGTCCTACAGCTTCCCCTTCCACAAGCAGTGGAAACATATGTGTCCTTCCCCATTTTATAGATGGGAACCCTGAAAATAGCAGCTATGTCAACTGAGGGCCAACTGTGCCAGTCCCAGGCCCACCTTGGCATACATCAAATCCTCACAAGGACTTTTCATTTCATCCCTGTTAGCGATGGAGAAACTGAGGCCTGGCAGGTTAAATGGCTTGCCCAAGATCACAAAGCCTGAGCAGGCAGGACTGGCCAAAGGAGCCTGGGTGGAGGTCACTTGCCTGCACGAGAGTAATCACTTGCCCTTTGCATGGATCTGTGAAACCCCAAAGGTGTTTCACAAACACCTCCTCAGCTTCTCAGAGACAGCTCTGTGTGAAGCAGCTTCTCCCACCACTGCCCTGTGGCATCTCTCCCGGCTGGCCGCTGCCTCCAGCTCAGAGTTCTCCAGATCCCTCCCCAGGCCCCATCTTACCAAAATACAGACCTGGCCTCAGCAGCTCCCTGCTTAAAGCCTTTATGACTTTCCATTGTCCAGATAAAGAGCTCTCTCTTCCCCTGACTCCTTATATCTCTCCATTGCCTCCCCGATCAAATCCAAATTCTACAGCCCTGCATTCAAGGCCTCTCACGCTCTGGTGGTTGGAAGTGGACCCATATTTGAAAACCGAAAAAGTGGGGGCACTGAAGTGCCGGGGAAGGCCACCGACCTGCTAACTCTCATACGTGCATCATGTGGAGCTGGGACAAACTGTCACCAGCCTTTGAGTCCCCAGTAGCATTCATCCCAACAGGTAAACCGTGTCTCTTTGCAAACAAAACTGATCATTACAATGGGATCAACCTTTCCAAACCCAAGCTTTGGGACTAGGACAATATTAATAATGCCTAAACACATGACACCACACTTGTATGGCATCATGCAGATTATTTTATTTTCACGACAACCTCAGATGGTTAACAATTATCTGTATTTCATTTTTGAGCACACTGAGGCTCCCAGAGGTGAAATGATTGTCCCTGAGTCAAACAGCTGGTGATTCAAACCTGGGGCTGCTTTCACTGTCCCCTCCTATCTGGCTAGGGCAGATGGCACTGCCCCTGGGCCCCACCTGCAGAAAAGCAGGAAAACAGGGTGGGAGCCTGTGAAGAAAGGCTAGAGGGAATGCACAAAAGTAACAAGAAAGCTGAATGGGGGACAACAGGTGACTTTTTCCTTTACTGTCACTGGTATATTATTCTCTTAAATAAAACTTATCTTATAAAATAATCAGCAGAGCTTTGCTGTTTGGAGTTCAGGCTCTGGAATGGAAACCAGCTCTTTCACTTCCCAGCTGTGTTTACTTTGGATGACTTTCATGAGAACTAAGCGAGTAAACTGCTTAGCTCAAAACACAGGGACTTCATTATTGTTGTTGTTCTATTTTTAAAATACTGGTTAACAGCCCACATATTAAGTATAAAGAGAATAGGGTGAGAGTATTGTTTTCATTTAACACAACTCTGAATTGTTCATACTTTCTTTTTTAGTTTTATTATATTTTTTTAATTAGGGTAAAATACACGTAACATAAAATTTACCAATTAACCATTTTTAGGTGTACAGTTCAGTGGCATTAAGCACATTCACATTGTTATACAACCATCACCACCATCCATCACCAGAGCTTTTTACACTTTCCCAAATTGAAACTCTGTCCCCATTAAACAAGAACTACAGATTCACGCTCCCTCCAGCCCCTAGCAACCACCATCCTACTTTTGGTCTCTATGAATTTGACTACTCATTTAAATTTTTTAACTTGTGTGTTTTTTACACTTTAATAGTAACTAAAATGATGTTATCTGTATATCCATTGACATGGAAAAATGTTCATATATTGAGTGACAAAAAAAAGATATATGCGTATATGTTACTAGTTTTTTGTAAACTATGTGTAAAAGTATAGAAGACATTTATATATGAAAAGAAAAAGAGCCTGAATATACATAAAAATTTAACAGTGATTATTTCTGGATGGTGTGATTATCAATGATTTTATATTGTGGGTTTGGGGGGGTTGTTTTTCAGTTTATTCACACTGCAGAATTTTTCAACAGTGGTCATGCATTCATTGCATAGTAAAGCATGTTTCTTAAGGGGAAAAAAATCAGTAAGCAAGCTAGCTAAACCAATAACGAGGACTGAGTCTTCCCAACTCGAGTGAATAAGGGGCTGTTTGCACTGGGAAATCCATCTGGCCCAGATTAGTAAGGAAGTGATCACCAGATTCAGATCCAACTCACTCCTGGTTTTTGCCACCAACTGTCTCATACGTGTACCTGATATTTAGCAAGGAAGGAAACTGAGACTCAAGGAGGTGAGGAGACCCGCCAGAGAAAGAAAGTGAAAGAAAGAGGCATTGGGGCTGGCCGGGTGGCGCAGTTGGTTAAGAGTGCAAGCTCTGAGCAACAGGGTCACCAGTTCGATTCCCACATGGGCCAGTGAGCTGCGCCTGAGCTGAGCTGCTGCTGAGATGCCAACGGGCGGCCAGATGGCTCAGCTAATGAGAGCACATGCTCCTAACAACAAGGTTTCCGATTCAACTCCCACATGGGATGGTGGGCTGCGCCAACCCCTGCCCCCCCCCTCCCACCTAAGATTGAACACGGCACCTTGAGCTGAGCAGCTGCTCAGCTGGTGAGAGCACCTGCTCTTAACAACAAGGTTGCTGGTTCATCTCTCGCATGGGATGGTGGGCTGCGCCCTACCCCCCGCCCCCCTCTGCAACTAGACTGAAAGCAGCAACTGGACTTGGAGCTGAGCTTGCGCCCTCCACGACTAAGATTGAAGGACAAGGACTTGACTTGGAGCTGATGGGTCCTGGAAAAACACTATGTTCTCCTTCCCCAATTCCCCAATAAAATCTTGAAAGAAAGAAAGAAAGAAAGAAGGGAAGGAAGGAAGGAAGGAAGGAAGGAAGGAAGGAAGGAAGGGAGGGAGGGAGGGAGAAAGGAGGGAGGGGCATTGAGGCATGAAGGCGGAGACTCTTCCTAGGACCAAGGTGGAGAGGCAGGGCTGTGGGCAGGATGCACACCCCACATCATGGTCCCTGGAGAACTCAGGCTTCATTTCTCCCAACTGGGGTCCTCAGGCACCTCAGAAGGACTACACTGCCCCCACCCCAACTCCCACCAGCCTGAGGCCCTTCCGGCCAAAACTGGGAGCCAGAAGCCAGTTCTTCCCCAACAGCAGCCCTGAAGGCAGGATTCGTGGATCACACACCTTTGTTTTATGTCACACCACTGCCTTCCACAGGCAGGGGCGAGCGCACAGTCCCTTGTACAAAACGACAACAGTGAACCATCACCAGTGGTGAATGCTAAATCATGAGTGGCTCCAGAACCAGCTGCCGGCTCCCAGAGTGTACAGACACGGACACTGTGCCCCCGCCCCCAGAGGAAGGGGCCACCGCTCACTGCCCTATCTTCCCTGCCCTCCTCTCCCTGGCCCAGGAGATGGCGGCCTCTTTCCTGGCACCCTCCCACCACAAACTGCCTAGGATGGGATCCCGTGTTCCTTAAAGGGCCACATTGGTGACATCCTCATGACATCTGTGTATGAGGCAAAAAGGCAGAGGTGGCTCCTCTATGGGAGGCCAGCCAAAGCCTAGCCCCAGCTCCCCTCGCTAGGCCTGCTAGTGAATGGGACCGCAGACTGCCATTGCCTGCAGAGCCAGGCCACAAGAGTAGGAGCTGCTCCCAGATGCACTGGCTTCCTACAGGTCCCACCTGCACTCCAAACTGCCTGTGGCCCCAGAAAAAGAAGCACCTTACTACTCCCATCTGAGGTCCGGCTGAGCCTCAGTTTCCTCATAAGTCAAATGGGGGTAAGGGTGACCATCCCAGCTTGACCTAACTTCAGTGCCCTATTCCCGGTGACCCTTTTGTTTTCCTTTCTGCACAGATCTTTGCCTCTCTGCCGAGACATTTGCAGAAACATTGAGGCTGCTCACCCACTTGTGGCTAACGTCTACAGCCTCCACCCACGGGGAATATAAAAGGCTTCATTAGGTTTTCATCCTAAGGAGGCTCTGGTTTTTCTCTTTGTTTTTCTTCTTCTTTCTCAGTGACAGGCAGTGGCCTAGAGCTGGCACCGTGGGTCACGTGCAAGCATGTGGACACACATGGGCAGGGGCTACAGCCTGTGGCTGAACCGGTAAGCACCTTTCAGGCTGACACTCACCCTCCCACCTACCTAGTCACACTTCAAGGGCCACACCCAGCCATAGAGCTCAGCTGACAGCCTGACGTCAGGCCCCGCACTGACAACTTGATGAGAAGTTTCGGCTTCCTGTGAAAGCCCCATCTCAGTATGCTGTGGGTTTTCAGATGTCTTTTAGATGCAGACAATAAATAAGATGTTTAAACATCTTCATTTCTACTCTTGAGTTGCTGACGCCTGATCTGAATTGGAGCAGGCTTTTTCTTGCCTCTTTTCCCACCAAAACCAGAAGAGGGAGAAATTGTGGTTT